CAAATAAGCATTTGACCCACTAAGAACGTGACCAAATAAGCACATAACCAAATAAGCACGTGACCAACTGAGATCGTGACCAAATAAGCACGTAACCAAATAAGCATGTGACCTACTAAGAACGTGACCAAATAAGCACGTAACCAAATAAGCACGTGACCAACTGAGATCGTGACCAAATAAGCACGTAACCAAATAGGCATGTGACCTACTAAGAAAGTGACCAAATAAGCACGTAACCAAATATGCACGTAACCAGATAAGCACGTGACAAACTAAGAGCGTGACCAAATAATCGTGTGACCAACAAAGCACGTAACCACATAGGTGTAGCCTATTGATAATGGACGGCGAAACGAACGTGAAGAGAAATGCAATGCGCATAGCTGTACATGTGTGGCCAAATCAGCATTCGGTGAGAATGAGATTGGAGAAGTATTCTAAGGCAAGAAAAACACGTACATAACAATGATACAGCAACCGCCTGAAACCAACTGCATCACCTGGAGGGAACAAGAATACCAGTACACTATGCGAGAGCAAACCCTTTGTGTAGAAATACAGATATAAACGAAATCAAGATCACGCATCACCGCCATAGTATTCATAGGCAAGTCACGATACATCTGCCTCCTGACACATAGATGATCTGAATCCACACAGAGCATTGTACGCGGATCCATACAAGGATCTTGTATGTTTATACCAAATACCTACCTGTGCCATGGTGGTGTCCGTGTCTTCGTCAAAGTATGTTGTGAGCAATCCCGTAAACACCGCCGACCCTATACGCACACCACTCTCCATTAGGCCGATGATGCCCGCCTTGACAATGTCGCGCCAAAAGGTCTTGAACAACGGCAAGTACAACTGCGGCTTGCGATTAGCTGGGATGCACTTTGCTTTCTGCCATTCCCATGCTTGCTGCCGAAGTCAAATTGAAAAGGTATATACACACATTAAGGTGATAATATTCTGCACCATATGTGATCAATTAGGGACCAATCCACAAAATTGAGCTTATGTACTATGCCGAAAAAAATTGTGTATCTAAACGAACCGAGAACCTAGAAAACCCTACGTGTGCTATATGTGTGTGTATACACTTGCGTAGTATAGAAACCCATGTTGATTGTAACGCGGCACCCTTTGTTGTGTAAGTGTTTATACAGGCAGTAAGTTTATACATATATATATATTTTTTTATA